CCCCCCTTGATCTCTCTGACCTGGGGCTTCCACTGGGGCTGGACCCAGGGATTCCTGGAGCAAACAGTCCTGATGTCAGCCCTTGGATCCGTCAGCAGTGAAGAACCACCCAGCATAGGAAGGGCCACCCTGGACAGGAGCAGCAGTCCCGGGTCCACGGCCAGTTCTGCAACATCCCCATTGCATGATATTCACTCTGTGAATTTATCTCTCTGGATCTTCATTTTCTCTCCTGCACGAATCATACTACTTAGCACAAAGTCATTCTGAAGATAACATAACTGAGGGAACCACACTGCAACCTCGACCATTCTAGGTATCAGGGTTAATGATAGGAATTTCACTGACTTTAGATCATACTTAGAACAGCCTAATAGGACAGGACAGACCTGACCTCTTTGGGTTTCTAAGGCTGGGCATCTTTACAGGAGTAGAAAGGGCGGGTCTTTCTCCCATGGAGCGTCTGGGGCAGGTGGTGGGGTGTTGAACATAGAGTCACTGTGTATTGAAATCAACTCGATTTCTTCCCTTTGATCAAACCCCTATTATGCACCCAAAGTGGAACTAGAGGCTGAGGTTACGCCAGTCCTCTCCTGGGGAGTCCCATTGTTGTCGTTGTTAGGGGTCAGAGCAACTTTCGCAGAACGGAATGGAGTCATCCTGGGCCGTCCTCACGATTGTGATATTCGAGCCCATTGCTGCTGCCACTGTGTCCCCCTTCTGTCCGGGGTCTCCCTCTTTTCCATGCTCGTCTGTCTGCCAAGCACAGTGCCCTTTTCCGGGGATTGGTCGCTCCTGATAACATGCCCCAAGTACAGGTGACAACGTCTCACCATCCTCGCTCCGAGGAACACTGGCCATCCTGCTTCCAAGACAGATGGGCTTGTTCTCTGTGGCAGTCTGTGGTACATTGAATATTCTTCGCCAGCCCCCTAATCCAAGTGCATCGACTCCACTTCGGTCCTCCTTCCTCCTTATTCGGTGTCCAACTTTCCCAAGCATAGGAGGTTAGATAAGTGGTATTACTATGCAGGGAGTGTTCTGTAAGTACTGAAGATAGAGCCACACGGGGAATCAGTGTACCCCTATTAGAGCAATGTCTCTATGTCGCTATTGTCCTTAGCTCTTAGTCTAGAACCTGACTTTCAGAAGGTGCTCAATCAATTTGATTGATTGATGAAGACACGACTTCCTTGCTGCCTTTCCTACTTCAAAGCATCTGTGTTAGGGGCAGACAAACCCAGGTTCACCTTCCACCTCTGCCATTTACTTGCTTTGTGACTTTGGGCAAGTTACTCTCCTTCTCTGTGCTCAGATCCTCATCTGTGAAATAGGAGAGACCTCTGTGTCTACAATAGTGGGCTTAGAAGGCATGTTATTCCCCTGTGAGCGAAGACAGAAGGCCTGCAGAGGATGTAGGAGGCTTACTGTTCAATGATAGGCAGCAAACAAATGCCTGAAAGGGTAGATTGTTGTAACATCTCGTCATCCACACATACCAAGCCAGTTCGCCAGAGGACTGGCTCCTAAGACCTGGCTGTGTTGGGAAAGGACTTGGAGAACAGCCAAGAGTCGAAATCAGCCTGACATAGGTCAGCAAGGGCAAGCACAGATTCTTTGCTATCAGCGGCTTACCCTTCTTCCTTTGATCCCTGTCACGGTTCCGCATTCTGGAGTTGCCTTGTTGTGAGCCTCCCCTGACTGCTTGTCTCTGGTTTCTAGCGTGCAATTGCAACCCCATGGGCCTGGAGTCTGTGGAGTGTCGAGGTGACGGGAGCTGTGTCTGCAAGCCCGGATTTGGAGGTCTCCACTGTGACCATGCAGCGCTAACCAACTGTCCAACATGCTACACCCAAGTCAAGATTCAGGTGCACATGTCCGTCAGAGCTATGCTTACCACTCCCGATACCCTGGCAGAGGCCACACATCCCTGTGTGTTGCTGGGTGGCTGTGTCCCAGATGTTGCGCTGGACCAGCCTCCTGGAGCCGGGGTAGTGGTGGTGATAGGTCACCTTTCTTCTTTTAATCAGTAAAAATCAAAACAAAACACCACTGCTGTAGAATCGAGGAGTCCCGAAGATGTAATGCAGTGGTTCTCAACCTTCCTAATGCCGCAGCCCTTTCATACAGTTCCTCGTGTGTGGTGACCCCTTAACCATAAAATTATTTTCATTGCTATTTCATCACTGTAACGTTGCTACTGATATGAACCGGGCGACCCCTGTGAAAGGGTTGTTCGACCCCCACAGTGGTCAAGACCCACAGGTTGAGAACCACCGGTGTATGGGTTACCTATTGGGCTGCAGTTTAATGCAGTCATTCCTCGGGGGGAAAAGATGAGGTGTCCTACAACCCTGGATATTCCCAGTCTGAGCAACCCCCAGGGGCAGTTCTACCACTGTGTCCTATAGGGTTGCTGTGAGCTGCAATCAGCTGGCTGGCAGGGAGTGTGAGGTTTTGGTGGTATAAACGTGAGACTGCTTCATGCATCCATTCAAAACCCCTTCCTCGTCCCCAGTCTCTTGGCTTGTAAGGGATCTTCATGTGGCTTCTGTTTTCCCCAGAACGCACTCCTGCTCTGAGTCTCCTCCGCTCCTTAGGACACAGTCTACATGGACTCGTGTCTCATTAACGTGACAAAGAAAGCCCCCCCCAAAGTAGGATTATAGCCACAGGGATAATCTTCTGGTGATTATCCCTGTCCATTCTGAGGAGGATACAGCAGAACTGCCCCCACGGGCTTTCCAAAGCCATAAATCTTTATGGGAATAGAAAGCCTCCTCTTTCTCCCTTGAGCAGCTGGTGGGTTTGAACAGGGATAGGGGTTCAGATACCAACATGTCCTTTGCGAAGATGTAATTCAATCCACAATCGTCATGCGTTTTGGGGTACAGGAGGATTTTGTCAAGTTGGGGGGAAGACTGTGCCAATTTCAGTGAGGCAGGCAGATTTCAGGAAATTGGCAACTTTACCCAGCCACATGACCAGGGTGCACCTCAGTCTCACCCTTGACTCTGGGCTCAGGGTTCTTCCCACTGTCACATGCCACACGGCAACTGAGTTTTTTCCCCCTAAGTGACCTGGTTGTAAAAATAAAGTGAACCATGAAAATATAAACAAAGCCATTCAAACAGGAGTGGTCTTCAAATTCCAGAGAAGGGATTGGATGTTGTTGCCATTAACTATTGTTCCGCAAGGCGAGGGGGGTGGGGGTACAAGCCCAAGCAGAACCTCAAGCACTTTGCATTCACTTAGTGCAGTGTAACAAGCCCACGAGGCAGTATCGCTGCAACTCTCATTTTATGAATGAAAAACGTGACTTGCCCAAGGTCACACAGCTAGTGAGTAGTGGAGTCTAGGGCCAGGTTTCAAACTCCAGAGTTTAAATTCTTACCCACTGTGGCAAACATTGTTGAACTTTCCTGGCATCCCCTGAGAGGACCGGGGATTGGACCGTGGTCTCCACCATCTCTTCTGACCCTGTCCTGTTTGGTTTCAGATGGATCAGTTTAAGCACCAACTCCAGGCCCTAGAAGCCCTGATGGCAAAGGCTCAGGGCGGTGGCGCAGTACCCAATTCGGAGCTGGAGGGCAGGATGCAGCAGGCTGAGGAGGCCCTCCAGGACGTTTTAAGAGACGCCCAGGTTTCTGAAGGTGACCACGGCCAATTTCCGATCAGTCAGGAGAGATGTCGTGGTGTTGGGAAGAGTCCCTGTACTACACCACAGTCTTCCGTGGGTGTCGCTCAGCAGGTGTTCCTGCAGAGGGGCCAAACATTCTCCTGAATTAGCATGAATGCATTCGTCTTTTGACATAAACCAGACAAAGCCCCTTTTCAGCCCTCTGCGATCTTTGATAGTAACTGGTTGCTGACTCGCAAAGTGCTCATCCTCCTCTTTTCTCGTCTGTGCGCAGGCATGATTAGATCCCTAAATCTCCAGCTGGCCAAAGCAAGGAACCAAGAGCACAGCTTCCGGAACCGTCTGGATGAACTCAAGCTGATGGTGGAGCGGGTCCAGGCCCTGGGCAGTCAGCATCAGGCCCGCGTCCAGGAGATCCGCCGACTCCTCTCTCTGATGCGCCTGAGCCTGGCAGAGAGTGAAGCTTCACTTCGGAATGCCGTACGTGCCGCTGGCCAGGATGCTGGGCTGGGAGACCCACTGCAGAGCTCCTGGGTGTAGTGTTTGGTGTGTGTATCTGGCAGATAGACTTCTCTTCCTTGAAAGAGACACTACTTCTTTGGCCTCCTGGCAATTTACCATTCCAAAGCTTTATCTTCGTCTCCCTAGCTTATTTATTCCCACCATAGTCTCATCTTGGTCCTGCCTCTTACCCCTCCTTTCTGAATAACCCTTTGGCTTGATAGTCCCCGGAAGGCAGAATTGTGGTCATGGTCAATGTTTGCTGCATGAACGAGTGAAGAGAAAGAAAAAAGGAAAGGAAGGGTGAGATAAATGGAGCTAAGGTTCTAAACATGGGCAAAAATGTTTGCCAGCATGATTAAAAAAAATTTTTTTTTTAAATCAGTTTATTAGGGGCACATACAACTCATCACAATCCACACATACATCAATTGTGTAAAGCACATTTGTACATTCACTGCCTTCAGCATTCTCAAAACATTTGCTTTCTACTTAAGCCCCTGGTATCCGCTCCTCATTTTTCTACCTCCTTCCCCCCTCCCCCCTCCCCCCTCCCTCATGAACGCTTGATAATTTATAAATTATTATT